AAGTTGAAATGTACTGCTTGTCCCCACAAAGTCAATGGCAAGAGCCCTTGGTGTGAGGAAACGTTGACATGGCTTCTTTCCAAGCAAATGCATTTCTGCCGTGTGCTCCTTTCCCTTGCGGCACGAGTGTATTGGGCACCGCGCAGGCAGCCACTGCCATCGCTGCTCCTCAAAATCCTGGCCGGGACCTTGCCCCTGTGTACTGGAGAGCAGGGCAAATAAGTAGCTCTGGGTGGATCAAAGTGTAGAAAAGCAGGTAGTTGTCAAGAGTCATCCTGCGTACTTGGGAGCAGGACTGTGTGGATCAACACCTCTTGCTCTTACGCCCATTGCTACCCTCTCTGATTTCATCTCTCTGTCCCCCCTTTCACAGATGGATGCTCTAAACCTGGAGGCAGCCATAGCAAGTGCTCGCCCCCAGCTAGCGGAGTTCCTCAGTCACCGCCTCGACTGGCTGCTCATGACCTCCCAGAGCTTCCTCCCACGGGGGACCCTCAGTGGCTTCGATGGCATCACCGTCCCCAAGGAGAAGGTCTTGGTGCTCCTTGACCTGCTGGAGAAGGCTGGTCCTGCCACCTGGAAGCAGTTTGTGCAGTACCTCTGCATGGAGTGTGACCTCCCCCTGGACCTGGAGATACTGCTCATGAGCTGCGCAGGGGAAGGTAGCGGAGCTGGGCCACCCTCCTCGCGCTGTCTCCAACAGCAGCCCGTGCATGGGCCCTCTGTGGCCAACAAACTGGAAGAGGCTGTGATGCTACTAGTGCTCTTGCCTACTCGTTCAGTGCCTCGTGYCCCCGTTGCTGGGATGTGGCTTTCCGCTCCTTCGTGGTGTCTATGGCAGCTACGAGCTTAGCCCAAGCCACCTGAGAAAACACGGGGTGGCTTTCTTTCTGACCCACCCTACTCATTTTTTCTCATCATTTCAAGAATAAGATCAGTCCCTCCAAGAAGAGTTATTGCCCCTGAAAAATGGCCTTTTACAAACAGGCATTTGGGCAGGAGAGAAATCCAGGGGGATCCCTTGGTGTCCTGATGCTGCCAGGCACCAGTGACCCATGGCAAA